GATTATCTTCTGTGTCTGTGTTAATTGGTTTCCCTTTTCTTTGTTGAAGAGGGTCTGTGCAATCCTTCTGCCTAGTCCGCCATCTTGCCCCGCCTCCTCCTGGAGCCTTAATTCTTAAAGAGGGTAAGAAAAAGTAGAAGTGAGCAAGGAAAACAAGTCAGAATTCCATGAGGGCTGAGCAGCTGGTTTTTTTCTTTATTCTTACTTATCCCCTATGTTCCTTTACAAAGAAGCCTTAGAAGCCCTGTCTTGGATTAGTGTGTGTGTGTGTGTATGTGTACAAGTACATGCAGGGTAGCCAAGTGGGGTGAGGGATGTTGCTCTACCTCTACCTGGGGAAAGACAGTGACAATGAGTGACATCAGAGTTTCTTTGGATATCTTAAAAGTCTCAGAGCCATTAGATTATGGCTGGCAGGTCAAATCTACCAGCCATTCCTTGGAAGGAAGATTGGGTAATCCACTTCTGTAGAGATACCGCCTCAGAAACCCAATGAGGGGTTGCTATGGTCAAGAATTGATGGTACTGAAGGAAGAAGTCCAAGCTGCACTGAAGGTTTTGGCAAAATACAAGTCTCCAGCAATTGAGTACCAGCTGAAATGTTTCTACAAACAGATGCAACACTGGAAGTGCTCACTCATCTATACCAAGAAATTTGGAAGACAGCTACCTGGCCAACTGACTGGAAAAGATCCATATCCATACCCATTCCAAACAAACAATGTGGAAATTAATTGACTCAATGGCAGTGAGTTTGGGAACTTTGGTGGGGTACTGCCTAAGACATCTGACTGCTAACCAGAAGGCTGGAGGTTCAAACCCACCAGCCACTCCTCTGAAGGAAGATTGGGCAACCTACTTCTGTAGAGATACTGCCTCGGAAACCCAAGAAGGAGTTGCTATAAGTTGAATCGACTTGATGGCAGTGAGTTTGGTTTTTTGTTTTGTTTTGTTTTATAATAGGTACAATATGGCAGGGAGAATGAAGTGGAGTGGGCAAAGCCATCAACATTTTTCTATAATCCATTATCACTAAATAGGACTAAGTATAGGATCTGGCTTCCTTACTGGTTTTGAAATGTGTGGCCAATTATCTCAAAGCATTTGTTGAGTAGTTAATTCTTTCCCCATTGATTTGAAATAATTTTCCACTTTTATCTCAAAATTTCAGAGTCTAAATGGTTGGAGATAACCATAGGCAAGTTTCTTTGTTTACAAATGGAGATAAGAATATGTTCCTGATCAACACATTCCATGGTATTGATGTCAAGCTGATACAATAGAATATGTTCAAACAGTTTTGGAAAAGTTAAACCTATGCCTTTATATTGAAAAAATAACAAAAGTCACAGCAAAAACAATTATTCCAATTTCTCCATGCTCTGAAAACATCTGTTCTAAAAAGTATTAGGGTCCATTGAGAAAAGTCCTAAACCCACAGGTCACATGTGAAACATAAAGTCAAGAATCTACATGCTAAAAGATTTAAGGTCAGATAGAAGAGAAGAGCCCATTTAGAGAAGGAAAACTTTCATTTCTTCTTATCCAGGACATCTCCAAAACCAAGCCAAAGTCACTGCCATCGAGTCAATTATGACTCATAGCAACCCCCATTGGGTTTCCGAGGCTGTAAACCTTTACGGAAGTACATTGCCCCATCTTCCTCACAAGGAGCAGCTGGTGGGTTTGAACTGCTGAACTTCTGGTTAGCAGTCAAATGCCTTACTCACTGAGTCACCAGAGCTCCTTGTCGAGGACATTTAGTGTATAGAATATTACTAGTATTCCCTTGAATAACCTTCCTTAGCTCCCTGGACAGGGGCTTCTTCAGCACTTCTGCTGCAAGAAGCACTTCTGCTGCAAGAGACCAGGTTATGAGCACAGTGTATGTCTTTACACACTCCACAAGTATGGTCGAGGAGGCTCAAGGTAGGTGATCTGTGGGCACTGTCCTCCTCTGGGCCTCTTGGACTTGAGTCATGTGTCTGGAGCACTTCAGAATAAAGGCCTGGCTCAGCTAGAAATTTAGGAGTCTTGTAAATATTGAGGGAATCCCTTGCTTGGAATCAAAGCAGGGTTATGCAAACCAGATGGAGTGCCCTTCGGAGGACCGAGGATTTTTGGAAAGTCAGGGTGGAACTGTGGAGCCAAATCAAGCTATGGGGATTTTCATTAGGGCATGGACACTTTAATCTGTAACTTCTCATCTGAGAATGTTGGTTTAACAGGGGCCAGGACATTAGATGTTATTAGAATCTTTGCCTCTAGGATCCACAGCTGTCCCCGGGGAAACTCGATCTGTCCTCCCTGTCTGCCTCCCTGCCTGCCTGGGAGGTGTGGAGGGTTCCCAAAGCTGGGGCAAGAGTGGATTCCCTGTTATTGTTATCATCACCCTCTGTAAATTTTAAAAAGGGAGAAAATCCTGGCGAAATCCTAGCTGACGCCTCTAACTTATAATAAAATGTACCCACACCCGTTGCAGTGGAGTCAATTCTGACTCATAGTGACCCTGCGGGACAGAGAAGAACTGCCTTATAGGATTTCTAAAGCTGTAATTCTTTCAAGAAGCAGACTGCCAGCTAGGTCTTTCTCCCGTGGAGCGGCCGGTGGGTTTCAAACGCTGACCAGCTAGTTAGTAGGGGAATGCTTAATTACTGCTATACCAAGGCCCCTTAGATGTAAACATCTTTAAAAATAAGCTTTTTAAGAAAAGCATTCAAGAGGCCTACATGTTTAATAAGATAGGATTTCAATTAATTATTGTGGTATTGAACTAAATTGAATGGAATGGGAGCTGGCAGAGCTTCCACTCAACGCAGTAGCTAACGCTGATAGAGTGGAAATGAACTGAATGGCTTTTGGCGAGGGCGGGTCCCGACAGACTTGCAGACTGGAGCGGTTCCCAACGTCACAAAGGAAGGCAGGGGGAGAGTCCGCCCCGCCCCGCCCCGCTTCAGTTCCCGGCCTCGCCACTAGGGGCGGGCGCTGCTTCCACAGCGGCAACAGCCGCAAAGCTTCACAGTCCGGGTTTCCAGCCGGGCCCCTTTCTCCGCCGGGTCGCAGCATGGCTTCCCTCAGGACCCCAGGCTTGTTTTCCTGACAGTCCCTGGCTTCTGAGCTCTCCTTGTCTTCCCCGGGCCAAGCCAGCAGACATGTTTACTAAAGCTTTTCGGGTCAAATCCAATACGGCCATCAAGGGGTCGGACAGGTGAGGGAGGGAAGGGGGCCTGCTCTGCCCACCAGGGCACCTGGCCATCTCAGGGGGCCTGGCTGCGTCATAGCTCTCTCTGGATTCGGTAGGCGGACGTGAGGCAGAGGCCGAGGATACAGCCGGGAAAAGGACCTCAGGGAACAGAAGCGGGTTAGACACGTTTGAGGGTGAAGGTGGAAAGGGGAGCCTGTTTTTTTTTTTTTTTTTCCTCCCAGGCTATCATTTAGATATTCTAGTGAGTTAAAAAGAAATTCAATCAGTGTTAATTAACTGCAGATCACTTAAGATACTGTGGAGGATGCAGAAAAGAAGGAATATAAAGTCCCTGCTCTCCAAAAAGATTCGAGCCCATGAGAGAGATCGGATGGGGCACCGAGAAAGACAAGCATACTGAGAAAAGTCCAGTGATTACTTATAGCAGAACAGACAGAGGGTGGGATGCAGGGGACAAGGCATATGTGAGTAGAACTGTGTATGTGCAGACAGTGTGGCAAATGCAGGTAATCACGAGGAGAATTTTGGAAACAGTGTTTTATTCTTCTATAGTTGTCATCCTTGGCCCCCCTGGTGTAGTAGTTTAATTACAAGTTGCCAAGCATATGTGAGAAATGAGTGGATCCAAGGGCAAGGCATGGAGTCAGGAAGGCAGGGCTGAGTTTTCCTATGTCAGGCTGACTTGCTCACTGGGCTTCAGTTTCCCTCCCTGTAAAATGGGCAAAACCTGCCCTAGGAATTGGTGAGAACAGATGAGACATCCTGGATGAAAAAGAGATGGGGTATTTTGGAAGAATGTGTGAGAACAAGGCATCAGAAACCAGGCAGTCTTTCCTTAGCCCTCATAACATTATAGTGAGTCCTGAGTCACCAGTATTTATTAAAGTCAGCCTGGGCAACATTCATACCTGGTGTTGATGTCCTTTCTGCAGAAGAAAACTTCGGGCTGATGTGACAGCTGCTTTCCCCACCATTGGAACTGAACAGGTCTCTGAGTTAGTACCTGGAAAGGAAGAGCTGAACATTATGAAATTGTATGCTCACAGAGGGGATGCAGTGACTGTGTACGTGAGTGGTGGTAACCCCATCCTATTTGAACTGGAGAAAAATCTGTATCCGACAGGTATGGTAATAGGATAGAGACAGCCTTTACTAGTCCTTGCCTGACATCTGCTTCTCTCTCTTTCTTTCATTACCTGCCTCCCATAAAACAGATAAGCACAGAATCTCCTAATAACATCCTTAAGGGCTTTTGTGGGCCTGGTGTTTCTAGAATTGGGTCTTTCAAGAACAGAAGCTTCAATAAGAGGGAGAAAATAAAGGGATGACACAGAAGGAGTGAGGATGGTTACAAAGGGATGGTCTGAAGTAAAGGAGCAATGCTGAGGGGTTGTAGTGGGTTACTAGGGAAAAGTTAGGTTTCTTGAAAAGGGTGGATATTCAGAACATGTAAAAATATGCTTCTTAAAACTGTCCCCAGCAGGAAAGAAGCTGGGTTAATTAAGCCACATACCTAGCTGTCTTAGCAATGTACTTTAATCAGGATTTCTCACAGAGATCTTTCTTAGGCCCTGATTGGCTCTCCGAGGATCTTTACTTTCTTTCTTTGTCACAGATCTCAGGGATGTTCTCTCTATTCCACAGCTACTGATACCTACTTTGTGACTTAGGGCTTTTCCTCTTCCAAGCTTGCCTGCAACAGTGCAATGCACTCTCCATAGGCTGCTTCTACCCCTTTCTACTTCCCTGCTTTCGGTGAAGACAAACACAAGCTCTTTGTTCTAAAGGTTTTACTGCTAATCACTGTCGAAATAGAGGAATAAAAATAATAAACTTCAGAAAGTTTTGAAGTTTCTTACAAGCTTCGTACCTTTTCTTGGATTACTTCCTTCTGAGGTAATAGATAGTTAGCTCATTGGGTCTCTGCCTCATTTTTATTCATTGTGGCCTTTTTCTGCTGCTTGTCCAGGTGGAATAATAGGTGCCTCCAAGTCTCAAGTGACACTCAATTTCTTAGGTCTCTACTTTACTCAAGAATGAAATCTCTTTGGGCAACCCCTTGCAGCTTTCTATTTAGCTTTTGAGTTGAGTTTCTTTTCTGTATCCTCATTAAAGTGACTGTAGTGTTTTGCTTTGACACTTCCCTAGGAAATGGAGCGTTTTGTAGTAAGTGTTTTCTGGGTCTCTTTTTGGGCAGTGTATACTCTGTGGTCATATCCCGATCTTCTACCAACCTTCACAACATGGCCTCCAGTACTCGAGAAGCTGGCGGGGGGAGCAGGTAAGAGGATTTTTCCTACATTCTGTCTCTTGGTTGAAATCTACTTAAGAAGGACTGACTGATTTAAGAAAAAAAAAAACCCAACATTTCCTGTGTTTGTTCGAACGATTGAAGAATGGAATATCCTCCTTGTGTTGTTCCCTCTCTCACTTTATGGTTCCATGAGCTCTTAGAGCCTCTCTGACCCCATTGTCAGGCTTAAATAAGATTAAGTGGTGTGAAAGTACTGTGCAAACTGCCAAATATTGTACTTTGGACCCACTGACTGAATTCAGAAAACTGGGACAAGATCATGGTATATAGGATGTACAGCCTGCCACTTGTTTTAGCACTTGTACCCCAAAGGAAAAGATCTGATACTTAGTTGTTACGGTTTCCAAGGTGTATCACTATGAAAGTAGATTGCCCAACCTTCCTTCCAAGGAGTGGCTGGTGGGTTTGAATCACCAACCTTCTGGTTAGCAGTCAAATGCCTCAGGCACTACACCACCAGAGTCCCTGTGAATAACATAGCTGATGCTTAATAAATATTTGTTGAGTGAATGAATAAAGGACGAAGTAAAAAGAGATATAGAGGAAGGCCAAATATGAGTTGTGATGTTTCTGTTTGCTGCAGATTTGATGCTACCGGGACTGGTGGTACCCCCTGCTGGTCTACCTCAAGTACAGAAGGGTGACCTTTGTGCCATTACCCTGGTGGGGAACAGGTACTGTACCAGCCAGCCACACTTTGTGGGGGAGAACTGAGGTAAAAGGGAGATGACAATTTCCAAAGCATATTGACAAAGTATTGAAAGGAAAAATAGGTTCTTTCCTCTGGAAGAGGCAGAGAGTAGGTCATTGGGGGAATAGCAGTGAGTGTGTAGGATTCCCACACATCTGGGAGGAGTGTATTTGCTGTTGTTACTGCTGCTTTTTTTCGTTTGTTTTAACTTTATTGTGAAAAAATTTTAGACTTATAGTAGAGTTGCAAATACAGTAAGGAGAGTTCCCGTGTGCCCTTCGCTTAGCTTAAGACCATGGTCTGGTTATCAAAACTATGAAATTAACATTGGTACAGTACTGTAACGAATTACGACATAACTATGAAATTAACATTGGTACATTACTGTAACTAATTACAGACTTTATTCCTATTTTTCCTACTACAGGTACTTCTCAAGTTATAACAGAGTTCTATTCTGATGACTCTGTCATTAAGTCAGTTCTAACTTATGTCAAATAAATACCTCAGGTTTTTTTATTTTTAAGTTTTCATTATTATTGCCTTTTGTTATCAATATCTTTATAAATCCAATCTTTATTTGTCTGTGGAAGTTGAAAACATTACATATAAACTTACAGTTATAATACTTACTATCTTGTTATCTGACATTTTGTATTTATGACAATAGTAAAAAAATCTACTCTCTGGCTGTTTTGCACTTTAATGACATAAGTCTGGCAGTAACAAACACTGAGGTGCGAGGCAAGAATAATGCTGGCTGTGATGATTAAAGATATGTGTCTTCTTGGCTGGGCCATGGTTCTCAGTTGTTTGGCAGTTAATGCAATGATGTAACTTGGCAGATATGTAATAATGTAATTTGACATTTGTGTAATGATGAGATTTGGTAGTTATGTAATGATGCAGTTGGCAGTTATGTAATGATATAATTTGGCAGTTACATGGTTTCACATAATGCTGATTTTTGCATAACAACCTGGTTTTTGGAACCTAACCAATTGATACCAAAAGGTCTGTGGTTCCAACCCACCAGCTGCTCTGCAGAAGAAAGATGAGGCTGTCTGCTTCTGTAAAGATTTACAGCTTGGAAACCCACTGGAGGTCACTATGAGTTGAACTCAACTCAATGGCAGTGAGTTTGTTTTTTTGGGGGGCGGGGAACGATGTTGATAATGAGGAGTGGTTGTATGAACATTAAAAAAAATATACAATTCATAAAAGAAAAAACAGACAATTGTAAGTACAGTTCATTGTAACTCAAATACATCATAAGTCGGTGACTACCTGTAATGATCTTTTTCTGTTCAGGGATCCAGTCTAAGACACCACATTTGCATTTAGTTGGCATGTCTTCTTAGTCTCTTTCATTCTGTCACATTTCCTCAGTCTTTCTTTGTCATGACCTTGACACATTTTGCCCGTTATCATCATCATCATTCTTTATTTATTTTTAATAGCTTTGTTGTTGTTGTTGTTAGGTGCTGTTGAGTTGTCTCCGACTCATAGCGACCCTACGTACAACAGAATGGAACACTGCCTGGGCCTGTGCCAGCCTCACAATTCCTGCTATACCTGAGCCATTGTTGCACCCACTGTGTCACTCCATCTTGTTGAGGGCCTTCCCCTTTTTCATTGACCCACCACTTTACTATGGAATGATAGCCTTCTCCAGGGAATGGTCCCTTCTGACAACATGACCAAAGTAGGTGAGATGAAGTCTGACCATTCTCACTTCCAAGGAGCATTCCGGCTACACTTCTTCCAGGACAGATTTGTTAGTTTTTTTTGCAGTCCACAGCCTTAAGCACTATGCTGTCGGAGCTTCTATGGCTATGGTTAGGAGCTCTGGTAGCGTAGTGCCTAAGGCATTTGACTGCTAACCAGAAGGCCGGAGGTTCAAACCCACCAGCCACACCTTGGAAGGAAGATGGGGCAATCTACTTCTGTAGTAATACTGGCTCAGAAACCCAAAGAGGGGTCACTATGAGTCGGGTCCGACTCGATGGCACATAATAACAACAACAGCATGGCTAGGGTTAGGTGCACCTTAGTCTTCAAGGAGACATCCTTTGCTCTTTAGCACTTGAAAGAGGTCTTTTGCAGCAGATTTGCCCATTGCAATACATCATCTGATGGATTGACTGCTGCTTCCTTTAGTGTTGCTTGTGGATCCAAATAATATGAAATCTTTGACAACTTCTGTCTTTTCTCCATTTGTCATGATGCTGCTTATTGGCTCGGTTGTGAGGATTTTAGTTTTATGTTGAGATGTAATCCATACTATAGACTGTACTTTAATCTTCATCAGTAAGTGCTTCAAAGTATCCTCACCTTCAGCAAGCAAAGTTGTGTCATCTGCATATTGCAGGTTGTTAATGAGTCTTCCTCCAATCTTGATGCCATGCTCATACAGTCCAGCTTCTCAGATTATTTGCTCAGCATAGAGATTGAATAAGTATGGTGAAATGATACAACCTTGACACACTCACTTCCTGATTTTAAACCATGTAGTATCCCCTTGTTCAGTTTGAATGACAGCCTCCTGGTCTATGTACAGGCTCCTCATGAGCACAATTAAGTGTTCTGGAATTCCCATTCTTCTCAGTGTTTTCTATAGTTTGTTATGATCCACACAGTTGAATGCTTTTGCATAGTCAATAAAACACAAGTAAACATCTTTCTGGTATTCTTTGCTTCCAGCCAAGATCCATCTGACATCAGCAGTGATATCCCTAGTTCTATGTCTTCTTCTGAATCCAGCTTGCATTTCTGGAAACTCTCTATCAATATAGTGCTGCAACTGTTTTTGAATTATCTTCAGTAAGATTTTACTTGTGTGTGATATTAATGATACTGTTCGATAATTTCCACATTCTTGGGATCACCTTTCTTTGGAATGGGTACATATATGAATCTCTTCCAGTCAGTTGGCCAGGTAGCTGTCTTCCAAATCTCTTGGCATAAATGAATGAGTGCCTCCAGCACAGTATTGATTTGCTGAAACATCTCAGTGGGTATTCCGTCAGTTCCTAGAGCCTTGTTTTTCACCAGTTCCTTCAGTGCAGCTTTGACTTCTTTCAGTACCATTAGTTATTGATCATATGCCACCTCCTGAAATGGATGAACATCGACCAATTCTTTTTGGTACAGTGTCTCTGTATATTTCTTCCATCTTCTTTTGATGTTTCCTGCATCATTCAATATTTTGCCCATAGAATCTTTCAGTATTGAAACTGGAGGCTTGAATTTTTTCTTCAGTTCTTTCAGCTTGAGAAATGCTGAGCGTGTTCTTCCTTTTTGGTTTTCTAACCCCAGGTCTTTGCACATTTCATTATAGTAATTTTCTTTGTCTGCTTGAGCTGCTCTTTGAAATCTTCTGATTAGCTCTTTTATCTTGTGATGTCTTCCATTTGCTTTAGCTACTTTCCATTCAATGGCAAGTTTCATAGTCTCTTCTGACATCCATTTTGGTCTTTTTTTTCTTTCTTTTCTTTTTAATGACCTTTTGCTTTCTTCATGGATGATGTTCTTGATGTCATCCCACAGTTCCCCTAGTTTTCAGTCATTGGTGTTCAGTGTGTGAGATCTATTCTTTAGATGGTCTAAATTCAGGAGGGATATAATCAAGGTCATATTTTGGCTCTCATGGACTTATTTTAATTGTCTTCAGCTTTAACTCGAACTTGCATATGAGCAGTTGATGGTGTGTTCCACAGTTAGCTCCTGGCCTTGTTTTGGCTGAAGATATTGAACTTCTCCATCACCTCTTTCCACAGGTGAAGTTGATCTGATTCCTGTGTACTCCATCTGGCAAAGTCCACATGAATAGCTACCATTTGTGTTGTTGAAAAAAGGTATTCGTAATGAATAAATTGTTAGTCTTGGAAAATTCTATCATGCGATCTCCAGCATCATTTCTATCACCAAGGCCATATTTTCCAACTACCAGTGATTCTTCTTTGTTTCCAACTTTTGCATTCCAATCACCATTGATAATCAGCACATCTTGATTGCATGTTTGGTCAATTCAGACTGCAGAAGTTGGTAAAATATCTTCAATTTCCTCATCTTTGGCTTTGGTGGTTGGTATGTAAATTTGAGTAATAGTAGTATTAACTGGTCTGCCTTGTGGGCATATGGATATTGTCCTATCACTGACAGCATTATACTTCAGGAGAGATCTGGAAACAGTCCTTGTGACAATGAATGTCATGCCATTCCTCTTCAATTTGTCATTCCTGGCATAGTAGATCATATGGTTGTCTGATTCAAAAATGGCCAAAACCAGTCCATTTCAGCTAATGCTGAACTAATGCCTAGGGTATTGAATTTTATGCATTCCATTTCATTTTTGACAACTTCCAATTTTCCTACATTCATACTTCGTACATTCCATGTTCTGATTATTAATGGATGTTTGCGCTGTTTCTTCCCATTTTGAGTTGTGCCATATCAACAAATGGAGGTCCTGAAAGCTTTACTCCATCCACATCATTAAGGTTGGCTCTGCTCTAAGGAGGCAGCTCTTCCCCAGTCACATTTTGAGGGCCTTCCAAACTGAGGGGCTCTATCTTCCAGCACTATATCAGACAATGTTTCAGGGTTATTCACAGAGTTTTCCAGTAATATATCAGACAGTGTTTCATTGCTATTCATAAGGTAAAAAGATAAATAATAAATAGCTTTGTTGTTGTTGTTATGTGCCATTGAGTTGGTACCCTACTGTTCACACACATAAAGTGGCTTTTAATATATTCATGGAGTTGTTCAACCATCACTACTCTGCTGCTTCTTTTAAAAATATTAGGAAGCAAAGGTTCCTGGGTGGTATAGAGAGTCTGTACTTGGGTAGTAACCTAAAGGTTACCTGTTTGAACCCACCCAGGGGTACCACAGAAGATCCAGGCCTGGTTAGGGGCTTCCGTAAAGATTACAGCCAACAGAGCCTACAGAGTCTCTCCAAACAAATAAATAAAAGAAACAAATGCCTCAACAAAAATATTAGGAAGTAATGAATGGGAGCTCTGGTAGTGTAGTGCCTAAGGCAGTTGACTGCTAACCAGAAGCCTGGCGGTTCATATCCACCAGCCACTCCTTGGAAGGAAGGTTGGGCAATCTACTTCCGTAGTGATATTGCCCTGGAAACCCAAGGAGGGGTCGCTGTGAGTCGGTCTGACTCGACAGCACTTAACAACAACAACAATCGTGAATAATTCTGAAAAATCAAAAGTCCCCTCACTCTACAGTCCTCTTCTTATAAAAGTATCTTTGGATGTGTATCCCTGGTAACCTTTTTATTGCATATGTACATGGACACATAAAAATGTATGATTTTGGATATGTGTATTTAAGAAAAAAACAAACAGAATTATATATTGCTTTATCACATAATATAGTGTACACATTATGCATGTCAGCACACAGATCTGCCAAATCTTTTTACCTATTATGTGGTTGATGGAAGAGGTCTTGTCTTGATAGGCACCGAGGTTGCTGCTAGTTTGTCTCTCTTGCAAACAAATATCTTAGTGATGCTTCTAGACTACAGGTGCCAGTATGTTTCTAGAATAGATACTAAAAAGTGGAACTGTTAGGTTGAAGGTTATGCATATTTTATATTGCCCTAAAAAAGGCTATATCACTTTTCACTCCCACCTACAGGGTTATCTGGGGCCTCTTTCTCTGCACTTGCCATTTCTGGATCTGAGGGCTCATTTTCATTTGTGTATCTGAGAGAAAAATATCTCATTGCTGCGGTGAGAGAGAAGAAAAGAGAGATTGTAGATATGAGTGGGACCAATGTTTAAAGATCTTATTTTTACTGCTCACATTATCCCATTTTCTTGGACGTTTTGGAAGCAAATATTATTTTAACAAATGAGTTTATTCTCTTACAGTTTGGAGGCTTTAAATCCAAGTTCAAATTGCCAGGCTCTGGGGGCTGGGTGAGGGAGCTCTGGTAGCATAGTGCCTAAGGCACTTGACTGCTAACCAGAAGGCTGGTGGTTCAAACCCATCAGCCACTCCTCGGAAGGAAGATGGGGCAATCTACTTCCGTAGTGATACTGCCTCGGAAACCCAAGGAGGGGTCACTGTGAGTTGGGTCCGACTCGACGGCACATAACAACAACAACAACAACAACTGCATTGAGGGAGCTCTGGTAGCATAGTGCCTAAGGCACTTGACTGCTAACCAGAAGGCTGGCGGTTCAAACCCATCAGCCACTCCTCGGAAGGAAGATGGGGCAATCTACTTCCGTAGTGATACTGCCTCGGAAACCCAAGGAGGGGTCACTGTGAGTTGGGTCCGACTCGACAGCACATAATAACAACAATAACAGGGGCTGGGTGAAAGCCCCTCAGCCTTGGGCTTTAGCTCTGCCTCCAGCTCCCAGTCCACTGAAGCTAGAGGCTTTTCTTCACTCAGACAGCTGCTGGCTACTGAGGCTGCAATGCTCAAGATTGACAAGTGAAAAGGCACAGTCCTGATGTTACCAAACCACACGGCAGGCCATTAATTTAAGTCCATTGTAAGTCCCAAGGTCGGCAGAGCATTGGAGAGCTGCTCCACAACAACACAACTACATGCAGGGTCCAAGTGTGCCATAGGCTAGAGACCGTTCCCCAAGTCTTCTGCTTATATACAGGAAGCAGACCACATCCCTAGGGCAGCTACTCACAGTAGATTCCACCATGGAGTTGATTATCAGTCTCATCATGGGAAAAATACTACATTCAGCTGCCCAGCCACTCAACCAGGCCCAGCCAAGTTGACACACAAACATAACCACCATATAGAGTATGAATTGCTTCCTTTTTGAACTTCTCTGTAGGATGGCTATGCTTTATTTAAGGTGTTTGTAAAATTGTTCCTGTTGTTAGATGCTGTTGAGTCGCTTTTTGATTTGTAGCAGCCCCGTGTGACAGAGTAGAATTGCCACATAGGGTTTTCTAGGCTGTGGTCTTCAGGGGAGCGGATCATCAGGTCTTTTCTCTCACAGAGGAAGAGGTAGGGGAGGTAATTTATGTTTTTGGAATTAAAAAAAGGCAACTTTAAATATCCTTCCAAATCCTGGCTGGGCTAATTCATAATAGGAATAAAACAAAGGCAGTGAGAATAGCGGCAGACGAGTTACTTATACAGAAAGGTAATGTTTGGTCAAGGGACTTTTGAAAGTAATACTTGTAGATAATCTGAAGAAAATTGAAACTGGACTGAGTTTAGTTTTGTGATACAAGCAGATGCTTCATGTTTGTAGCCACAGAGCAATTACCATGTGGAAAGACAGTTGTAATATGCCCTCCCAGGAGACTCCCCCTGACCCTGGTCTCTGGTCTCCTTCTTCTTAGAGCCCCCATTGCAGTCGGAGTTGCTATCATGTCCACACCTGAGATGCTGACTGCAGGTCTGAAGGGAAGGGGCTTCTCTGTGCTCCACACTTACCTGGACCACTTATGGTGGGTACCTAGAAATTGAAGTGTTTCTTTGATTTTACAGAAAGTCTGGGTGGGTGGAGGAAGCATGGAGCCTAAGATTCAGAAGTGAGAGTTTTGGTCCTAGCCAGAGTTGCTGACCCTCAAGACTAATTTCCTTACCAACTGTGGAGATAAGAGTTTTTTTTTCTCTCTCTCTCTCTCTCTCT